GGAACGTCAATGGCACGTCATGTAAGAGGACAGAAAGCGAAAACCGGGTCGTGACCTGCCCTCTGCCCAGCATCCCACATATCCGTCTGGGAAGGTGCTAAGTCGACTCCAGCGGGAGGATCGTCACTAGCGCGGCTCTGGACCCTAGTCCCATAGTAATCTTCGTGTCTGTTCTCTTAGCAACACACGCGCCTGCATAACAACTCTACCAACGCCCGGCGTGCTCGCTCCGACCATGCCTATGACCTCGATTCCCCAGATCAGCCCTGCCCGTATACGGTCGTATATCCTGCGCCTGCCGTTCTGCACCAAAGTGCTGGTCGCCGCCATTGTAGGACTATGGGTTGCAACGATTCCCTTCCCATGGATTAGGGACTTTGGCGCCCTGGAGCCGGCCAAGATGGATCTGACGCAGAGTATGTTTGTTTTGTTACTACCAGGGGAACGTGGTCGGCCACAGTGCTTGTGTTCTGGTCCTGCATCGCGGCGTGGGCGCATCATGGGGCGCGGAACCCACGGAGCTGGTATTGAAGATGGGGGAGAACGTAGCAGGAGACATGTTGCACTTGACTTTCGTCTGATCCAATATGAACATAATGCTAATACAATACACTCGTAGTGCACCGACTCAATCTGTTTCCCGTCCTACATTGGAACTTTATCCACATGATCTTCAACCTCGTCGCCGTAACGCCACTTATCGAGCGCTTCGAGTCCGAATACGGAACACTTGTTACATTGGCGCTTTTCACTGGGCGTAAGATATCAACTGGGTGACATGTATGGATATTAAGCTGACCAGACGGCAGCTTTTGGAACGATACCTGGGGGCGTGTACACATTGTTGGAAAAGTATGTACTGAGGAGTAACACCTCAGTGATGGGCGCGAGGTATGTCAGATGGGTTTATAGAATCGTATAAGGACTTGCTAACAGCAACAGTGTATGGGTGTTCCTCCTTCTGTCTGCAGAAGTAATGAAAACACACAAGGCGAACCCGTACTTCAGGTACCATCACGCGACCCCTTTTCTCAATCCAAAAACTAACTCTTCGCAGCGTCGGACCATACAAAATCCCCACCTGGACAACGCCCCTGATCCTCATTGTCCTGACCAGCATCCTCGTCCCCTACGTCAGTCTAGTCGGCCATCTTTGCGGCGCAGGCCTCGGCTACCTCTGGGCTTCCGGATACATTAAGTTCCTCGTACCGCACGAGAAGATACTGAGATGGGTTGAGACCAAGCTAAACTTGCTTGGAAGGTTACCGCACTACGTCAGTGTCGACCAAAAGACATACGGCCGATACGGTGTCCTGCCAACAACGAGCGTGCCGCTGAGTAATAGAACTCCGGATGGAGGGCAACGACTTGGGCCATAGTCTTTGATCGAATGAAGTAATATGGTGTGGGTCGACTTGCTACCGGCGTTTTGGCATTGCTCGGTTTCTACGTCACGACGAGGCGACACGGTTACGGTGTGCTGTGCTACTCATAATACGGAAGATAGAGTATCTGTACAGATATGTAGACTTCACGCGATACGGCATAATTCTAATGTTCTCCAAGGTATAAATGATTATGGCTTACCACGGTTCGCCAACCCCGCATTGGATTCTACCCACTCACACTAGTCTGCAGACCTCTGATGCCAACCAATGTTCTATTCAGCCCCACCAACGAAATCATCGACCTTTACCCACCTTTGAACACTGTCTATTCCATAATTAACGTCGATATAATCCGCGCAATTTCAAAAATTGCCATCAAATGAGTAATCAGCTTAATAAGCTTCCTTGGGTAAGTCGCAACTCAAGATCGTTCTTAGAAACAAACGCTAATACCCCACAAGTGTAGTCGGTTATCACGTCGGTCTCATATCATAGAGTATGACTATTCCCAGCAATAGATATCCGAAGGCCGCCAGTTCGAATCTGGCAGGAAGCAGATTCCTTTTGCTGAGCTCTAGCTATAGAGAGAGAGGGCTTTGTTATGTGTGTGTGTGTGCAGAAGTGGCACTTTTTTTTTTACATCTTCGCATTTAAGGTACAGCAACAGCAACCAGCCAAAACTAAGACCAGACTCTACTCTACGTTAACACACTACAGAGATTAATAACATCTAGCCCGGGATATTATGAATTTTGCATGTCCGCTGCATCGCATTCCTATATTCCAAGGTTGCTTGACAGCACATCCACATCGAACATGTCTGCTCTTAGCACTCCAATGTGCAGCGTGTACCAGATTTACTTACACACATAAGCCTCTTGTTCGCATACAAGATCTATATTTGCCGTTTCGCATGGCGTTCACCTAGATTGCTACTGCGCGATGTCTACGTGTTGTCCTTTAATAGTTTGCGACATACCCAAGACACTTCGGTGCGGATTGTTGCTACCAGAAGCGGCAATTCCAACAAAGCGTAGATTGTGGCACTATCAGAGGGGCAAAAAGACGAGGGGCGAAAGGCGCGAGGGGCACAGCGGGGTGGTCGTGGAGGGGCAACCTGGACTGTGTTGAGAGAGGGGCACGTTGGACATCTTGTGGTATTGCTCACACTTCAGCTGGCACCATGGTTGGAAAGAGGCGACACATACTGTTATTGTTCTCAATGATCAAGTGGCGCATCTTCACGCCTTGTTATGACTTTTCGTCAGTACTCCGGGGTACTTACGAATGCTCAGCAAGTCTCCATCTCTTTATTTGAACGATACCCCGTAAGGCAGTGCGAAGACCTCGTCCACAAGAGCAGGCATTTTAGGCCTGAACTCGCTGTCAGTTTAAAAAATCACTGCGACAAGCTCATAATACCGCCCTTGATCCAGGAAACGTCAAAGACATCAACTATACACATCATATAGAGCTCATATCCAACCTCGTTCTGACCCCAAGAAGCTACATCCTTCAGGAAACAAAGTACGCATTTGACTCACACTGCGGTCTGTTCCTGATCCAGGCTGCTGTTGTCCGAAATAGCGGTTGAGGCTTTGGACATTTGTTGAACGATTGTACTGTACGCTCGATGCTTTGTCTCTATTGACAGGCCGGGAGCTGAGTAAGAAATTCAACCATGTAAAATCTGAATTAGAAAACATTGACGTGTGTGATCTTCACAATGCATTTATACGCAGGCACGCCAACCTCGGAAAACACCAAACAGGTCTGCAGCCTACATCAACATAGAAACATGCAAGGTAGGTGACCTAACGTCGACATAGGCTTTAGACCTGTTTAGTCTTTTTTGTGTGAGGTGCAGGTAAGATGCTGTCCTCATTCGCAGCTGTACAATCCATCCTTCTCATGTACGCCCTCTATGCGAAAACACCTTCACGATGTTCCCTCCCGGACCCTCTATCCATGCGCGTGCTATTCTTGGTCGCATTACGATCTCTCACTGTATATGGGTCTGTCATACTACGCCCCGCGTGCCAGATATATTGCGAGACTTGACGGTATAATAGCCCTGTAGTCAGGTTTCGTGAATCGTACCAGTAGCTTCATATCAGAGAGCTGGCAGTTTCGAAAAAGCTAGCGGCTACAGATTTCCGCAGGCATAGATAGGCTGCAACGAATGTAACGTTTGTCTCGATCGTGGATAATAACAGTTGTAGGAAAACTTGAGGACGAACGATGAAGTCAGACAGTTGCTGCTGCTAGGTACAGTACCACACTCTTTGAACTAATTATTGTCTTTGTCCTAGATAAATGAGCATGCTGTCCAGAGTATCTTCCAACTCAGGCAAAAAGCCTCGGTTCAAGTCTAGGTTGAATGGTTTCAGTCTCATCCTCTAGGCGAGCAGTAGTTAGTTCCGCACAGAAGTCATCTTGCACGCGCATCTGTCAGATTCTAGATACCAGATATTGGTGGCGTCTGGGGGCGAGAACAATTGAGGATGGAGGTTTAGCCACGCGAGGGTAACGTGCGAAGTTTGGGACGCCTAAATCCGATCTTTGGATGGTGGAATTCGCGTAAAAGCCAATTTCGACCACAACAGCCGGCAAGTTCTCACTCTGATCTTGAACGCCTCAATTCATGGTTGTTCCATTTTTTGAATTGCGATCGAATCGTCTCGTGCCAGTCGCGAAACGACCTCGGGACAGCCTGCCCATGCGCTGTGATGTGTCGATCATCTTGTATTTCCCTCAACACGCGGAAGCTATGCACGACTCTGCTCATCGCGTAATACAGCCGTTGTAATCTTGCCTATGCATATTACATGCTTCCGAGGCGCCACAGCTGAGTTTGTGATGGGCGCGCGCCGCCCCTGCTAGTTTTAGCTACCTAGCGCACAACAGGCTGGGAAGACGCGATATTTCCACGGCTCTCGGTCTGTCGTACGAAGTATTCGGAGACATAACGCCGCGACTATTCAATGTTTTAAGATGTTGAAGAAGGTATGGAGGCTAGTTGAAGGCCCGCGGAACTTTAATTGGCAGCGCATGAGAGCACTTGACGTATGTGACGGACCTTGGCGTCAGGCCCTCTGTACTACGGGAATGCGCGAATAGTAGCGAGACACACAACATCCATAGTGCGTGCCGATCGGATCTGTTGCCGATCGAATCAGCCGCTCCTAGTACCAGGTAGTTGGCAGTGGCTGTGACGCCGTCTATACACGGAGTTTGAAAAGTATGAGAGACCTTCCCCAGTTGGACATGCCTGCCTGTTCGGATTCTTCTGGAATGCGAATATCTACTACGCAAAGTAGTAGGCCACCTCGCACACTCACATGTATCCTTGACATGCAGGACCTCGGTGCCCGAGCTCCTCGCCTTCGAGATTTTTACGGGTCCTTGCATGTCGTGTGAATACCTATAAGAAGTGGTCCAAGACGTGCACTTGGCATAGCTAGTAGGCCCGTTGTCCTTCATACGTCTTTTACCGTAGTTGAGCCTCATTTCAGAAGATCGGCGTCAACTCCTCCAGTCTTGTCATACTTCAACATCGCTTGCTCCCACAGATTGAGCTTGACATAGCCTCTCCTTCCCAAGCCACACACCATGCGGGGTGTTCTTCAAGTCGCCCTACTTCTGCCTTTGGCCGTGGGGAATGCGCTTCCCCACGACCGAGCGCAGTTCAAAAAGAGACCCTTCGACCATGTTGACGACATCCTCGCTGGCTTGGGTAGTATCAAGCAGGACCTCATGGCTGGTGGCGCTGCAATCAACCAGCAGCTCTATCAAGCCACTCAAAAGCCCGCGCAGTACGAAAAGTGCAACCCCAGCAACGTCCAAGTGCGGCAGGAATGGTAAGTCTCCGGAACGTAATGCTTCTCGATAACCATGCTAATCCTCTTGAAGGTCTACCTTCTCCAAGGCTGAGAAGAAGGCATACATCGGGGCGGTTCAGTGTCTAGCTGAGCTGCCGTCAAAGACACCAAAGGAGATGTGCCCCGGTTGTAGAAATCGCTATGACGATTTCGTGGCCACCCACATGCAACAGACCTTCAACATCCAGTAGGTCTCCCTTTGGAACATGAATGTGAGATACGTACTGATTTTGTCCACCAATGTCTAGCGTTACGGGTAACTTCCTCACATGGCACCGATACTTTACCTGGGCGTATGAGCAGACTTTGCGCAATGAATGCGGCTACAAGGGCACGCAACCTTACTGTAGGTGTCTCTGTACGAACTGCATGTGATGCATACGCTGATTTCGTACACCGATATCTAGACAGTTACTCCAGATGGCACAAAGATCCTACAAAGTCGCCTCTGCTCGACGGCTCTGCGACGTCGATTTCTGGACAGGGCGCAAAAGGATGCAGCAATCAGACATGGACTGGAATCCCGTCGAACGATCAACCAGTCATCAAGATTCCGCATGGCCAAGGTGGTGGCTGCGTGACCTCAGGACCGTTCACGAACTTCACTGTCAATCTCGGACCGTTGGTTCCTGCGTCCAAATGTGTCCGACCGAATCCCGATCCGTCTGGCCTAGGATACAACCCCCGTTGTCTCATGCGCGATATCAACGGCTTCACCGGAGAGGGATGGCTGAAGGACGACGACGTGGTTTCTCTGCTCCAGAGTGACGACTACCAAACGTTTTGGGAAGTTTTGCAAGGTGGGCCAATGGGGAACAGCTTCGCGAACGGTTTCATGGGCGTGCACACGGCCGGTCACTTTATCATTGGCGGCGATCCGGCGGGTGATTTCACAGCATCTCCTGGAGATCCCTACTTCTTCTTCCACCACTCGTCGATTGACAGGCTTTACTGGACTTGGCAGAACCTGAAGCCGAGTGAGCGTACAACTGCCTTGTATGGACCTACCTTTATCGGAACCCCGACCTCGCCCAATGCAACACTCAACGACACCCTGAGCATGGGGGCAGCATATCCTGGGCCCATCACCATAGAAGATGCGTCAAGCACCATGGGCGGACCATTCTGCTACATCTACATTTAGCCTGTAGTGTTTTGGCTTCGTCGTTTTTGGAACAATTTATCCTTTGGATTGGTATTGCACTGTTCCGTTCGTGATACGTGCGCCGAGTTTCGATACTGATCGTCGTTGACACGTTGTCGGAAGAGCCGAAGTCGGACCTAGAGTTGCGATGCTAGACATTAGGTGGTACCTGGTTCCGATCAAGCTCTTCTGATCAGCTGTGGTACAAGCTGTTCGGCCTTCCATGTGATTTTAGCATGTGACACCGCGATAGCGATGGTTGTTGGAGGCGATACCCAGTAGCATCGATGCAGGCAATGACCGTGAGAGGCGGTGCGGCACCGATCCACGAACTCTGCCTTCCCCAGCAGGGTTGCGTAGTTGACCGTCGCGTCGCCCGACGGCGCGCAGATTGACGCCCTGAGCGGGTGTTTCCCTTGACACAGCTATGGACAGTGGTTTTGTAACGACGAGCCAAGAGCGACAAGTAAGTGCGGGCTAGTGTCATTGTTTGGGTCGTTGTGATGCGGTTGTGATGGAATGGTAGTGACGACTTGTGGCGGCGCTTGGGCAGCCGGAGATAATTGCCCAAGTTCACTATGTCCGGCACTACAAGATTGACCGATTACTGTCACCTCAGTCTCCCAATAAGCAAACCCATGATATCGACCACGTTTGAACGCAATCGCACCTATTTATTCTGGAGTTTAGTGTGTCATATCCAATTTCTACACGAGTGCTAAATCTTCACCCAAGAAGTGCTGTCCTGTCGTCTATCATAGATTTTGACCAAAGTTGATTGGGAATCAGCATCTGGGAGAGGAAGACTCGAGCATGCAGACACTCGAACGGCATCGCTGCAATATGCGATAGTATTGTCCCCCGATCGCCAATTTATCCCAGCTATTCTTGTAGATACGAGCTTGATCTAGGGCACTCTCGGGCTGTTGTTGAACTCATTTGGCGCAAGTACCAATAGATGGCACAGTCGAACTGTCGCAATTCTCTAAGATTACCCATACTGGAAGAGATGGAAATAGTGTGCGGCTAACTTCAGGCCACGAGATATCAGGATAAGTATAATCCGCAACGCTCAAGAGATAGCGAAGACCTAAGAGAACACGCCCCGAAAACCACCAGTCCAAATAATCAACCTGCTCATCGTCTGTGCGATACGTGCTCAAAAGGATGCAGGGGGTCAACAACCTAGTGCAGCTGCGGAGATACGTCCCTGCATCAGGAGGTGGGAAGCCAACCGTGGGGTAATTATAGTCAGGCCAATACTCCTCGTAGGTAGTTTACACTACAATTGTTAGGTCTCAGTCAACAGAAGCACCAAAGCGCTATTCCGCAGTCAACGGCAGCCTAAGTTGTTTAGGTATTCAGTGATATACAAAATCCTGCACCTGCAACACGAGACTCGAAGAGCGATACCAAGTGATCTTGAACTCAGTACATACTCGCATCTAAATTATCGGCTTTTTGCAAACGTCTTTACATTATGCAAAAGCTGATACAAAAGTAAGACAAGACCGAAAGCATCAGTTAATGATTTGGCGATACATCTGTGAAGTTCGTCCGCCTCAGTACTGCGGAGTTCCGCAGGACGGGAAGCGGATGAGTCGCGACCCTCCTGAACCCCATAGTTGTGACTGCTGCGTGTTGTACAAAATGAAATCTGCCCCTAAGTCGACTAAGGGCCTTTGTGATCTTCTTACCTCTTTCCTCCAAATCTACATTTCCTTCTTTCTATCTCATCTGTAAATAAAACCCAACATGGCGACCGATGTCAATGTCCAATCACTTATCGGTCCCGGCCCACCTGCTTCTGTGAAAGGGCAGATAGCAGCGATGCGATGGGCTAAGCAAAACCCGCCTAAAGACCCAAAATCGTCCTTTGTGGGAAAGACAGTGATCATCACTGGATCAAATACTGGGATCGGCTTGCCTGCCGCCACCAAGTTCGCTGCCAACGGTGCCTCCAAAGTCATCCTCGCAGTACGCAATCTCTCAAAGGGGGAAGAAGCCAAGCGCTCTATCATCGCAGAGACGGGCTGTAAAGCCGAAGTCATTGATATTCTCGAGCTCGACATGAGTAACTGGACATCTGTCAAAACCTTCGCCAACGATGTCACCAGCAGATACGACGAGATTAATATCGTCGTCTTGAACGCGGGGGTCGCACCTCCGAGTTATGTCGAGAACGAGAAGACAGGCTACGAGGCAGCCCTACAAGTCAATATCCTATCGACGGCGTATCTCGCCATGCTACTGCTTCCCAGCCTCAAAAGTAACGCGTCCAAGGGTACTCCAGGCCAGCTCACCATAACTGGCAGCTTCGCTAGCAAGTATGTCACGCCTGCAGACGCTGAAGTCAAGAGTGGTCAGACATTGATCGACAAGCTGAATGACCCCACTGCTTTCAACGCCGCGAAGACGTATGGATTGATCAAGCTGGTCACGCAGTACATACGACAAGGCCTCGTCGACGACTTCTCCAAGGACGCCCAAGGAAATATCGACGTCTTCATCAATGTTGCATGCCCGGGCTATTGCACCACAGATCTGGGGAGAGATTTCCCATGGTATCTCGCGATGCCAACAAAATTGATGCAAATGTTTGTGGGACGCACAGCTGAACAAGGAGCGCGCGAATTGGTCAGTGCCACGCTTCTGGGAAAGATCGGTCACAACCAATTCTGGTCTAATGACATACTGGATGAGTGAGTCCTCTGGACAAGTGTTGCACGCCATAGAAAATACTGACCTCCAGCAGTCCAGGTGAGCTGGTCATTGGGTACCAAGGGAATAAGCTGCAGTCACAGACATGGAATGAGATCCGCCGCATCTGCGAGAAGCAGGGACTGTAAGGTGACAGGGGCGGGCATCGAGCGGACAGGATGTGGGCGTTCACATGGCTTCTGTCTAATTGTTTCCAACAATATTATAGGTTTACGTCGCTCGTTAGGCTTCCCGTCCGCTCAGCCATATACAAGCATTGTACCGGCAGATTAGTACTCGGGGTCGTCTCTGGGTCAACTCTCGGTCATCGCAGCGTCAAACGCTGGAGGAGGATAAACTACATGCTCGCTCTAGAAAATATAGAGATAAAGCGTGCATTAGCTTATTAACACACATCGCGCAATATCTCCGCATAGCGACATCCTTTATTAGTCTCTCTATCCTTTACTAGGCCATCTATCCTTTACTAAGCCCTCTATCCTTTACTAAGCCCTCTATCCTTTACTAAGCCCTCTATCCTTTACTAGGCCCTCTATCTTCTACTAGGCCCTCTATTCTTTATTAGACTCTCTATCCTTTATCAGGCTCTCCTACGTCATCAGGCTCTCTATTCGTCATTAGGCTCCCCATCCGTCATTAGGCTCTCCATCCTTCATCTGGCTCTCCATCCTGCACTTTAATGACGAAGCCTGGGAAAATGTAAATTGTATTCTCTTCTCAATTACAGGGCAAGGCCGCCATTGCTCTTCAGTTCGCCAATCAAGACTACCGCGCGCGTCTTCCACGTCCTAGTCCTCGTCTTCAGACTCCACAAGCGGTCTCTTACGTCTTGCTCTCTTGCTCGCAGTTCCCATTGCGCTCTCCTCGTTTTCCTGAAGGTTGGCCTTCTCCGCACGAAGAAGATTGTTCTTTGCCTCAGTAAAGACTACCCGGGCAATACGCGGAGTTTTTCCCTTCTTCATCGGCCAATCTTTCAGTATCAAATCACAGGCCGTGTCCAGTTCTGCTCTTGTCGCATCAGCGCTACTAAAGTGTTTGTTCTTGTTCAAAAATACGGCTGCGTAGCTGTTCAACAAAGACTTCTCTCTGTCGGTAAAGTCGATAGGGTAGGTGATTGAGCTCGCAGGTGGCATCGGAAATGTAGACGCCCATCGATGGGAGGCACGGATGGCTTCGTTCCAGACGACACCCCGCTGTTGTATGTTTTTGCCAAAATGTCCAACTTTTTTGCACCGCCATGCTGTGGGCGCATACTCGTCGATTGTTGTACACTTATGAGCATAACTAGGAGGAGATCTCAGTCCCTGCATCGTCGCAGTCCTGTTCGTAGGGGTGAAGGTGCTGTTTTTTGCATGTGGGGTTCAGCGTTCGCGCTGTTCTTTTCAGCTCTCTTGGCAACCTTCCGAGCTGTCCTGTCTGCAGTAGTACCACTACTTGAGCGTCTCCCTGTTGCCAGCGCTTGAACTATGCTCTCTATTCTTTTGGGTCTTCCGGCCTTTGTACCTGTCTCTACCTTGAGCAACGCTGTGTATCGATCGCCCTTGTTCATGCTTTCCCATTGAGCTTCCGCAGCAGGTACCTGAGCAAGCGCAATCTTGAGATCTTCAGGCACAACGATTGTAGCAGACCCTGCGTACGCACGATCCCATCGTCCGTCTGCTTTCGCATCATCAACGGCTGCCAGGCCAGCGGGACGCATCCGGCCAATCTCTATGAGACGGGCCACCGTCCCGACGTTCTTCTGAGACCACATACTGTTCGCTCTCCGAGGTGTGTAGCGTACCGTCCACCAGGTCTCATCGCAGGCGTTGGCGCGACCATCTATCCAGCCATAACATAGCGCTACTTCGACGGCTTCCGCTGCCGTTATTGAGGGTGTGCCAGAATTCTTTTTGGCGAGCTTCACGTAGAGGCCGGGAGCCGTGGCATATTCGCGCTCGAGAAAGGTTTCGAAATCTGTACACGTAGGAAACGCCTGTACGGGGAATTCGGGCGGTGTTGCCTTGGGCGGCATAGTGGCTAGTGTGGGGTTGCGGAGCAGCGGGAAACGCGATGCGGGTCTTTGCAACTGGACAGTGTCTAGTGAAGAGAGGGACATGCGGTCCTGAAGTTTGGCAGCATGCGCGTACCTATTCACCGTCATTAGAGATGGCGTGTAGTCGTGGAGTCGATGCATGTCCGTCGCAAAGATCGGGGAGGAGGCGCAGCACGTCAGGCGCGCAATCACGTGCGCACGTGTGCACGCGCCAAATCACTCTATCAAGTTGATGAGAAGAGACGCCACTACACGTTCATCGATCGTTTGTGTCTAGCACTACGTTCGCACTTCAGCAGGCGATTGCTATACGCTGTCTGCTCCCATTGCCACGTCTTCCGCTGCTCTGCCTCTTCTCTTCTGCAACCCGACTGTGCCTCCCAGAGTTTAGCGAGATTTCGAGATGAGGGGTCTGGGGTAACGACTGTGGGCGCTGGGCGCGTCATCTTCAGGCAACGACCTGACACGCACGTGAGATCTTTGCAATACAAGCGCTACTAGTGCAGTTCAGTCTCGAATCACGATTTGTCCGCTCTCACATTCGTTGCTACCCAATTGAACGCGCCTTCCATTGCTACAAGTCGCCATCTAGAGCTCAAGTCATTGGGTCTGTTCAACTCTGTTGACTATCAACACGAATGTCCAATGCTCCCATCGCAAGAGCCGCAGCCCTGACGCGAGTAATTGGGCAGTCGGGTCGCCGTTACGTTGTCGAACGACTACTTCAAGATCGGCCGGGCAACCATGGACGTGTGTATCTTGCCACGTTAGTTGACACTATCCGAAACAAACAACATGATATTCGTCTGACGTCTTTTGCAGCTCGGAGAATCGGAAATACGTACTGAAGACAGTCCCTGAGAAAACTTACAAACATTGCAAGACCATGTTTGACACTCTTCGCGGTACGTCTCACGTACGTGTCGCCGAGGACACCGACTCAGAACATTGCACATTCATACATCCATACCGACGTGACCACCTACTGTCTTTCGTTCAGAAAGACGTTCCGCTTCCCACAACAAAACTCGTCCTTCGAGACGCTCTGCGTGGGCTCGCAGCGCTACACGCCAAAGGGATGGTGCACACCGATATAAAGCCAAACAACATATTGCTGGATTGGAACGATCAAGGAGGGGGGCTAGAAGTCAAAGAAGTGCAGATTGCTGACATGGAAGATATGGTTCACCTCCCGGATAACCATTACATCAGTGGCAGGCAGTGGGGAAACTGGATGTGGCGCAGTCCAGAGGCGCACGCAGCGGCAGCGATACAAAAGCCGACAGACATGTTCTCCTTCGGTCTGGTTGTAAGTGGCCTACCACTTGTATCGCGCTTCAATGAGTAACTCAATTTCGCAGTGCATATACGCCGTGACAAAGGAAGCAGTTCTCGCTGTAGATCCAAAAAAAGCTACAGAAGACAATCCAATCGAGGCCATCGTCGTTCGACGTCTCATATTTTAGCGACCTAGAAGATATGGAAGGGTTGATCACCTACCTGGAAGATAGCCCCTGGATTGGCTACCTGAACTTCGTGATGGCGAATTTCAGCGAAGACTATCCAAGACGTCCACTCTGCCTGTGGAGCGATCTCGACGAAGATTTGAAGGATCTTTTGACGAAGATGATGAGTATGGACCCGAAACGACGCATCACAGCTTCTGAGGCTTTGGCGCACAAGTGGTTTGCGGACGTGCCTTGATGTATCTTGCAGAGCTCAGCGCTGTCGACTGTCCTTTGGTCCTTTGTACTATTACCCTCATGTAGAACGACCTCACCTCTCTCTCTATAATTACCCACTCAATCAATATCTCTGCTCTAGGATCTTATCAAATTACAGCATGCGTGTTTTCGTGCATAAAGAGGCACACTAGCCTGAGCCGCAAACGAGCGTGCGCCAAACTGCAAGATATAGCGGTAAAGATCAGGGTATAGGTCAAACATGCTGTCCGATCAGCTGTACACCAGAGATCATTCAGGTTCAGTCTAGTCCGTCGAGTAGGATTTGCATTCAAGACAAATCCTCGTTATAGTCGGAGCTGGGCGTCAAGCGTCAACGTTTAGTACAAAGGTAAATGTACATGTGAGTGCGGGTTAATGAACCTATATTACTCGCTTGAATCCTATGATGCAGGACAAAGGCGGTCGAAGCCATCTAAAACACGACTGAAAAGGACAAAGCTCCGCCTCAAGTGACTACTGTAAACGTAGATAATAATGCGTGTCTATTGGAACGCTTGAACGCGGGTATCGTAAGCATAAAACCAAGTACTCCAAATGCTCATGCAACGCCTATCCTAACACTTCTTATTCCCGCTCACGGAATAGCTGCAGGATCCTTGGGCCAATTGGCCGCAAAGGCAGTCCATGGTGTACCTCGCATGACCAGATTGCCGTCCTTGTCAGGTACGTACAACTGTGGCTCATATCCCTGTACACTCGCCCATGACCAAAACAGCCGTCTCCAGTAACAAGTCACTGCCGCTGGTGTCAGATACCTTCTGGTGAAGGTCTCGTAACTGTTCTTTGCAATCTCCTCAGCTTCGTTGTCATGCGCACGGTAGTACTCCATAGCCGATTCGAGGTTTCCAAAGTTCTCGGACGCTTCAATGTAGTTCACGTCGGGACCAGCAAGCCTCATTAGGTGAGTGTGAAACTCTTGCCATTCGAGAGGGTGTGTGACGAGGGCTGAGCGGCAAAGCTGGAGGTACTTAAGGCGGCCGGAGTACGAGGTACCTTCGGTTTGGACGGTGAACTTGTATCTAGAAGACGGTCAGTACGGTTTCATACCCATGTCGCGGCTTTGTCTCTTACCCGCAGAATTGCCTCAGATTCATAACGTCCTTGGTATGCGGGTCGCTGGCGTTGTTGATGACCACAGGCTTGATGTCGCTCCATTCCTTGCCTTCGCTGACTCGGACCAGCTCCTTCCTCAGCTTAGCCATCTTGACCTTGCCCCGCCATACGATCCTAGGGTCCTTCTTCGCCCATGGCAATTCGGTCTCCTTCTGCTCAATTTCTTTCCTGATGCTGTTCCAGCTTGGAGCATGGGTATAGTTCCACGCCCAGTACGCGTAGTTTGGCATCATCCAAATGTCCTTGTACTCCGGACCCTCCTTCCGGGTGTACCCAAAGAATGTTCCCTGTTTCCTGGATCGCCGCGGCAGATCGTCGAGCGAGAGGGAGAATTCGACGTTTGGGATCGAGGGGTCGGATGTTGAGGTGGTGGAGACGGCGCGGTCGATTTGTGCTAGGGTTCCTAGAATGCGTTCTCTCTCGTTTCCGTTCGTGACGTAGCATTCCTCTGGCTTTCCGGCATCGACGACAAACAACTAGGAGTGGCAGGTTAGTTGTAGCCCGGAAATTGACCAGACGCGTATAGACGTACCTCGCCCTCGTATACCATAACCCGTAGCATGCATCTTCCCTGATCGATTTCGATATCCTGAATATGCACCTTTCTGCCTTGCCTTAGGCTAACCGACTGATCTAAGCTGTGATACAGCTTTGGAAAGGCGGAATCGCATTGGTCATGGCTGAGTGTGTGCACATTGGCATGCAGGTCGGCGTTGAAGTCCCAGTCTCGCTGAAGATTCCTATGGTGTGAAAAAGGAATATAGTTGTGTTTCGATTGCCCCCATATGGACCATAACTGGGTTGCGATCACAAAGGTCGAGATGTAAAAGACGAGGTGCGAAAAAGATAGACGGTACGCCTTTGGCATCATGATTGCATAACGAGTGAACAACGCGCGACTGTATTAACGAATGACTGAGGGTAAGTTGTGAGGTCGAGAGGCGAAGTTGGAGAGAGACAAGAATCCCAAGAAATGGACAAGACTCGAGAGAAAAGCCGCCTTCAGATAGTGCCCCATTTGATACGAGCGTCCATTCTGACAAGCGTCGACTGAGCACAGCTAACCATTAGTAGCGGAGGGTGTCCATGCGAACCCCTGGGCTATCCCCACACCATGACAGACTGGGCAAGTACGAGCTGACAGTTCGATCAAGGCCCTATCAGAGAGCCGCTAGAGCCGGACACGATAAGTGCATGGCCTGGAATACGATCAAAAGGATCTGAAGGTGTCAGGAAAGAGTGGATAGGAGTTGTTCGCCTGGATCGTTCAGGGGTAGAAGCTTCCGTCAGACCCTGGCGCTAAGACGCATCAGCCTCAGCTAGTCGTATCTTTGGCTAGCTGGCGAGAGCACGCGCACGCAAGCGACTCTGACCGCGAACGCTAACGGGCATCAACAATCACGCCGGCCGCGAACCGCCATATTGCAGTCCAACCCAGTACCATAGAACTAAAAGTGCGCGAAGGAAACGTCTTGGAGTAGTCCCCGATGCATTGACGTCAAGCAACGCCATGCAATGGGAGAACTCTTGTTCGAGGGCCCACGCGGCTTAGCGCGGGAGCTTAACACTCCAGGTGGACTTATCCCCTGGCATCTGCAGCTCTATACCCTCAGCTAACTGTACATGGAGGTGATGGGACGTCGCAAGGCGAGCATCACAATCAGGAAGGTGGGATCCGCAACATCCGACGAGGATCAATGCGCCCCAACCCGTTCGACCCTGCGCCGCATAGAGACCCGAATGCCCCTCTATCTTACTATCAGTGACCTTTTTGGTGTTCGGAGCCATGTCAAGGAGAAACCCAGACCCTGCCACCTATCAACAATCGTCACTCTTGCTCATGGAACATTGCATACTCGCCGACATAGGAACACAATCGTTCATTTGCCGATACGACACGGCCTGGTGGAACAACGGCTGAGTGCGGCACAGGACATTGACAGAATGCCTGACTGTGAAATGGAATGGCCTAATCCCGGTGGTTGATCATTTATCTGCTCTCACGCATTCGCTCTCATGCTCGACCCGGCACACGGCAATGCCATCAGAACCTTGAGGCATGATTATCTGATGTTCGAGAACCCACACGCCAGAAAAAGGAAATCCTCAACCGTTGGAGACGCTAGTCTTGCCTTGCACGCCTTCTGGTAGCCTTGAATCAAAAGCAACGCGAACATGACTACACAAGTGGCAATGCGAGAGTTCCGTCAGGCGACTACCCGAGATATAATGTGTATAGCGATAGCACTTGCAGGGGCGTAGTGGGGTGTGGAAACGCATATGCACTAACTCCACGGAAGAACTTCCACTTCGCGAACGCACCCATGGCTTGCCAAAGCTTATCGAGCGCTCGGACGCGCTCATACAGACTCTCCTCACGGTATTCTCAACATATGCATCATTTGGGGCATTTTCAAGCAACGAAAACAACTGTTTGTACCAACACGTCGTCGGGCGAAGAGATCACAGTGCTCGCTACTCTCAACTGTTGTTCTTTTGTCTCTTTGCGCATTTCACTCCTGAAGACCAAAGAACAGCATACTGTCGTAAGCCGGCACTCTCGTTGTCCATGTGCTGTTTGACGTCCCACCACACCAACGGCACATTTTTCAGCACTTCTTGTGTAGCCTCGATACCCAACTCATTGGCTTCCCCGCCGATATCGTTGAGTGTGAGTAGACGCTGATATCGTACAAGCTCCTGATCCTGCGACATGACGGGCAGCGTGCGGATGGTTGTTGGCAATTCCCGTGAGAATCGGTCGTGGAAATCAAGAACTTTGAAACACATTTAGCCGTTACTGTGGGTCGTGTGTCTATGTTTGTTTGGGTATGATTGCGCGTCAAACAAAGAGAATGCTCGAGTGAAATCCAGCAGGTTTCCGGGTCTCATCCTGAGGTGGTTTGTAATAATTAAACCTCCAGGAACATGAACCTAGATATGAGAGGATATGGAATACTTTACTGATGGCAAGTGGTGAATGTACATCAGCGACAGCTTCTGTTCTGAACGTGACTTCTGTGACAGCATATCTAAAGACGCCTTGAAAATGCGAGCGACAACCGCTCAATGCAAGTCTAACAAATCATCTAGCCTCCAGCAAACACCTGCGCTATGCCAAAGCAAACCATACATGAATATCATGTCTCTCATACAAATCGTAATTCGTGCCATCATTTTTACTACCGCTTCTTGTTCTTCTTCCCACCACCCGGTTGCGCGACAGATTTCAGCGCCGCATGTTCGGGATGCTTCTTCAAGTGCTGATGCAGTTGAGTCTTGGACGAGAAACCAGCGCTGCAGCCATTACACTTGTTTTTGATATCGGGCTCTTCGCTCTCAGCCTGTTTTGCAGCCTTCTTCATGCGCTTCAACGCAGCCTTGCCGAGCTTGGGTTCCGGTGGGGCGGTGACTTCTGGTTCTGTGGGATCTTCAGGTTTAAAGTCGAGATCTTCGGTGGGTGCTGTGGAGGGTTCTGTGCTGGCGCCAGCAAGTCGTGCTTCTATTTCGGAGCGCGAACTATATTCGTCGTCAACGTCTGAGCTTGTTTCTGAGTCGACGGGCGATGCAGAAATTGTATTACTAGGTGCCATTCGGTCCACATGGCCTTCTTCCTCGTCTGTAGTGTGGTCGTCTATGTCAAGCTCATTCGTCTTTGTCGCGAGGTTTTTCACGGATGCATCGGAGTCTCCACCACCAGAAACTTCGGGTTCCATCGCAAGCTCATCCTCTACCGGTAGAATCTCATCGCTTTTGAGGGCATCTTCGTCCAAATCCAGATGGGCGTTGTCCTTTTGCATCTTTTTCTTGAGAGCCTGGATTGCTTTCTGATGCTTCTTGCTCTTC